CTTTAGTAATGGTCTTAATGTCTGCTTTTTCACCTTCCATCATAATGCTGCAACAGAGTAAACCTAAAACCTTTTTTTTCTGTTTACAGTTTTCCCAGCATAATCAAAATATGATGTAGTTGTTAATAGTAGTATGGCAGTTGCTCCATATAATACCCTTGTGGTATTATACCTTCATATTAATAATCTCTGGAGTTTTATTTTTCCTCATAAAAGTCTTTGTTTTAAATAAGAAATGTGAAAAGTAATGCCAGCCTTAGTGTGATGATTGAAGAGCCTGCTGCTGCAAAAGCAGAAGTGGCTTGAGGGATTGGAGCAGTAGGTGGTTGCCTATGATTTGTTAGGGAGGTTTTTGATTATTAGTTGTCAAGAAAGTCTGGGAAGTACAGGGGGTGGTGGTGACAAATTAATTGGCTGTGCCTAGAAACTCTTGATCTCCCCAAAATAGTTGTGGTGCACAGTGGCATAGTTACAGTTAAATAGCTGAAAAGGTGAGTGGGGCTGTGTTCTTGAGCAAAACAGCTTATGTTCCCGTCACACAGAGCATTAAGTACCTGTTCAAGTGACTCTCATAAACACTTCTTTGGATTTCAGTGGGTTCATTCACTTGAATTAAATTAAACAGATGCTAAAAAGTTTGCAGGAACTTGAGTCTGTCTGAGCAATTTATTTTCCTGGTAGCTCTGGCTGCCCAGAAGTATTTACAGCATGCTCTCACCTTCTAATAAACTTGGGAAAACACAAAAACTTGCCATCATACTTGCAATTACGCATTTGAAAGTATGAGACTTTTGCTATTCAAGTTCTGAATAGATGCCAAAAAAAATAATTACTTCAAATCACAAATGGTAGGGGTCAAATAAAACTTAATCTGAAAGAATCTACATGGAGATAGAAAAAGAGAGAATAGTTCATGGAAAAAAAACCACAACAAAACGTCATGGAGGGAGCATGGGGTGAAAAAGAAATTTCCACAAGTTTATGTTTATCAAAAAGAGAAGGATCTTAGCAAATCCTTCACAGAAAAGGAAAAAGACCCAAAGATAAAATATAAACACCTGGAAAGATCAAGAATTTGTTCCTTTTTTCTTTCTCAGCCCTCCTAGCTGACATGGTGATGAAAAGAGAGGATTAAAATGGGCTTCTTTAAACCCAAAGTTATATTAGGAAATGATTAAAAGCACATTGTGTTCTGTAAAGTGAAATTTTGCTCTTTTTGGTCCAGAGTTGCTGCAAAACATTTTCAGAGGAGAGCAACAGAAAAGGAGGGGATAAACATAGATCATTCTAACTTAAATTATTAATAGGTAATAATATCTGTGGAATTTTCCATTTGTTTTTGTGGTCTGTCATTCACTGTAAACCCAGTGCACTCCTGAAGACAGGCCTACATCCAGAAAGGATTTTGTGTCAGAAACTGCTTCGATGCTTTTGTTTGGAGAACAGTTTTGAGCTGTGACTGCTGTAACAGTGAGAATTCACACAGGCAGGAACTAAGTTATGGAAGCAGGAGAATGGCATGGGAGAATCAAAATCTGTGCAAACAACCCCCTGCCCCACCCCAAAAATAGATGAGGTAGAGAAATTTCTGAATGCCCAGCCTAGACACCTTGACCAGAACTACAGTTATTATTCCCACTGAAAACTTACTTCCAATGCACATTGCATGTGATTTTTGGAATCTTGAGGGATTGATCTTCTATACCTTGCACATATGCAGAAATATGGGCCTACTCTGGCTTTATGGAGAGGGCAAAGGCTTTGGTAAAGCTAGAAGTTTTCACTTTCTTTTTTCGCTTTAGGTATTTTTGTCCAGAAGCACCATCATGTGTTCATAGATCCCTAGCATGGAACAGTAAGTTACTGTTACCCCCTCTGTCATACTCTGGGAGCTAACTCAAAAGAATTGTGAGTGAATTTAAGATTCAATGGGTTAAAATGGTTTCACAAGTCTCTGGGAATCTGGATGGGTCAGAGATTTCTAGGTAACCCATCTGTAAATAAAGGATCTGGTAAATCTAATTCTCCTCCATCGCCTAGATTTATTTTAGCTGTAAAGTAATAACAGAGAAAAGTTAAATTTATTTTAGCTGTCCATGACTGATTGGTAGTATGAGCTGGTTAAGAATCCTATCCTTGATCATTGCTCAGTTGCTGTTGTGCCTCAGGCCTCTTCCCATCTAAAGGCCACCCAAGTGCTTTCACTAGGAGAGCCATGTGTATGAACCACTGGCTTCCATCCAGCCTGTAAAATGCTTGTAATTATGGAGTCTCATTAAAATGAAATCAGTGAAACAGGGTTCTGCTCTTAAAAATGCTGCATAAAATCCAGACATCCTGAAGGCCTTTGTGCTTCACTGTGAAATAATTCCTTCTGTTCTTTGTATCTGTTTATTAATTTAGAAAAAGTACTGTTATGATTAGGATGCTCACCTGGAAAGATGCCTACAATCCAGAGGACAGTGTTGTAAAATCTGTTAAGTAGCTGACCTCTGTTTTTTGGATACTGGGATGAAATCCACTGGCATAGTTGAAATGGTGTCAGCTCCCCAGCAGCCTCAAACTTCTTAAGTTGCGACAGGAATCTGCTAATGGTGTTCAAGAATTCAAAGATGGCTCATTATGGCTTTGTTTTCCCTACTAAGTCATTCTTTCCACTTCCAAAATGCAAAATAAGGTATTTTAATTTTTCAGTTAATTTACTAGTGAGATTGGAAAGTACCAGCATCTGTTTTTCAGAGCTGTGACTCAGATTAAGGCACCAATCCTGCAGTGTCAAGAGGCTGTTTCCCTGCTTGTGGCTGCTCCCCAATGCAGTTTGCAGTTACCTGAAAGCCATTCAGTTGAAGTGTGTGGAACAACTGTGGCTTTCTGATTTGGTGTGTGCACGCCCTCGATGAACTCCAGCTAACCAGCAGTGCAATGAGCCTGAAAGTATTTAACACTTCCAACAGGTGCTGAGTTACAGAAATGGCTTACCTGGAAGGTGCTTTGTTGATGCTCCCATGCAGGTTATATTCAGAGCAAAACCCAATAGGATTTTCTGTGTGTGATTTTAACCAGTTTAATTCAGGAATGAAACATCAAGATTAGCTTGTGGCATGGTGACTCCAACATATATTGCTGAAAATCATCTGAATTTTAATGATTGTGGGATTTACAGGGGTGAGAAAAGTTGGCTCACCAAGTTCAGGATTCAGTCTCCATTTTTGCATGAATGGAAGGAAACAGAATGTGATCTCTTATATCTTTAGGTTTTTCTTCTTTATTTTCATGTACCAAGTATGCATCCTTGTATCTCTTAAAAAAACCTCCCAGGTCAATTTTTGTGGCCTAAGAGGAATTTCAGTTGTTTGGAAAAGCAGAGTCTGAAACTTCTTCCTTAATAATTGAAGCCAATAGATGCTCCCAGTAGTGAAATTTCTTTCCCTTTCTTCTTAATTGCAAGCACCAGCAAAAAGCTGTAGTTAAGACACTGACAATAGAATAAATAGCTGACCTGATGGAGTGTGCTTGGGCTGTAGCCAATAATCTCATCCATAGATACTCTCTCCTTTGGGAATTAGTTCTTTCTCTTGGCTTTGTAAGTCTTGTAGTAACCTATTACAAAGATTTTTCTTTTTTTTTTTTTTGCTTCGTTTTAAACTAAATCTTTATTTTTATAAATAATCGAATCCCAACAAAGTGGTCTTGGTAGATTGTGGCTCTCTTGAGAATAGAAGGGAATAATACTATTTGTGAATTATAGATTGGTTTTGTTTTTACTTATATCAATTTACATCAAAGAATACGTGTTGTGAATTTATTAGGTTTAGATAACCCTGAGTGAGACTGGTATTATAGCTCAGTTCTGTAAAATACTGTGTTATTTCCAAAGTACCATGTAATAACATCCATGGTCTGGAATTCTGTTCTCTCGCAAGCTCCAGCACACAGAGACTGCAGCATAAATGTATCATCGGCATATTAATTATCTGAATAATCAAAGTGAGTGCCTACAGTTGCTGTTTGCTGCAGATTTCACCTGGGGGTCAGAAGCAGAGGCAGTGCCAGTTAAATAACAGCTCGCTCCAAACTGTTGGAGCCTGGGGTTGACCCCACATGAAAGGAAGCCTATAGCTGTGTGAGGAGCCAGATGTTTCTTCCTGTTCTTCCTCTGTGGGATTGTTATGGGAACATGGGTCTAAGAACCACTAATATGGCAGCAGGTGAAGGAAGTCTTTAAAGGGTATACATGCAAACCATAGCATTCAGCTTGATACACTGCTCATGGACTAGTGCTTTACGTTGTTTAACCAGGGAATTTGTCAGATATTGAGCGGATGGAAAGTGTTTCTTGCTGACTCTTTTCATTGGGTTTGTCATAGATGTTTTGTCTATGAAATTTGTTCATGTATTTTATTGGCTGTTGGTGATGCAGATGAGAAATTTACAGAGCACAGAGCTGGTTCACGAAGGGAAAAATGTGATACTTCAAGAAATGATGATGATAACCATGAAAGTTGCATTTCTGATCTTGTAGGGAACACCAGAGCTAATTTTTTTTGTGTTTGTTATCTGGATAATCAAAGTTAATCACCATTTTTTAACACTTTGGATTAAAAAAATAATTGTTTCTGTAGAATTGCCTCCTAAATTTAAACTAGCAACCAGATTGGTTCTTCCTGCTGAGAAAGTCATAAGGATTGCTTGGGGGGTGTCATGTGTGTGGTGGTATTTATGTGACTGTTCCAACTCCACCGCTCATGTGAAACGGGCAATCTTTCACAAAGTCACCAGGTTTGCAGAAAACTTCAAATTCTGAAATCACTCTCTCCAGAAAGAGAAAGGAAAAAGCCAGTCTAAAAGCAAAACTGTTAACAGGTAAAAATTGAGGTGAAATACCATTCAGATTTTCAGAAGCCTCACTTTTGTGTTCCCCAAAATAATGCTGCCTATGATCTACTTCTGTATCTTATATCAGTTTACATATTTAAATATGTATTCTCATTTTCCTTTAGGTGATCCTGATCCTTACCAAGTATTATCATACTGACATGGGGAAAGTGCTGGAGAGCTCTTTGTGGAGGTAAGTTCTCTGCTTTTTCTATAACCTTCCCCCCTGCTGTTCTCAGAATAGATCCATCTCTTCATTTTCCAGACTGCTGCTGAGTTGAGTTGGTAGCTGACTGATGGTAATGTAGTATTATCCAGATTGTCATCAGCTCTTACTCCTTCTCTTCCTTCAATGTAGTTCCTGTATGTCAATAAGAAAGAGTTTGAAATGAGTTTTAACAGAAGATATGAACAGTGATAGAGAATATAAGGAACCTTCTTGATGCCACTTTGCAGGATGCCATGATTTTCATTTTCCTAGAAATTTTGCATCAAATTTACATACAAAGTTTGGAATGGTTGTTCTGTTGGGATGTGTCTGTTGGGAGTTGTTGCTGCTCGAGTACTGTACTAAGGTTAGTAAATAATCCTGCTTTGGAAGCAATCATGATTGTCTGGATGAAATGTGCTACCAGTGTAGGTTATATTGTGTTTTATGACAACTGGGAATAAGTAGTAATCCAAATAAATTTCTGATTGACTCTCATTCCCATAACATTGGTGAATTAAGGTATCAATATGCTTCTTGCCTCTGTGTGTGCACAGATTGCACGCTCAGGTGTATATCAGCACAAAACCAGGGCTAAGGTAAATCTATGTTATACTAATCATACTGGTAATCTTCTCAAGTGTTAGTTTTGTTTTGCTAAGGGGGCTTTTTGTACTCTGATTTTTCATGTGTATCTGTATAAATCTT